CCGGAAAGTGCGAAGGTTTTTTGTTAATAGTTTTGAATTTATATTAAGTTCATTATTGTTTTATAATGCTGATTTTGCTCGCCTATTAACGATTAATGTAATTGATATAATAGTTTTGAAGCTATAACTCTTATTATATATATAACGGAAGTAATTAGCTAATTTTGTATGAGGTCGTCAAAGACATTATTATGATTTTTATTGAAACCAATTCCTGTAAATGCTTTATTGACGTTATTATAAAGATTATAGCTTATTTTAATCATCCATAATCTTCACTATGTAATTTCTCGATTCTAATATCCTTTCTAGAAAAAAAAAGACTTGCTATTTCAACTGTTTATTTCATTATTTTTTTGAGTATAAGAGCATCTCAAACCTCCAACTGGACCAGCAATATTTTGAAATATACAAAGTTGTTCAATTCTGTTACGAGCAAATCATGATCACATACATGAATATGTTTAATATTAGAGACATCCGGATAAAACACAGTTGTAAGGCTGTCATGCTCAAAGCAAACCACTCCTGCTGACTTCTTTCCATAATTGATCTATAATGACGAGGACAGTGGTTTCCCAGCAACAGTTTTAACAGTCACATGTTACAGAAGTCCATAGGAGACTTGACCAGAATGTCTTTGTACGTAATAGCATGAATACCAGTTTCATTCTCTAGTTGCTTGTGGTATTTGAAAGTTGAATGGGAGGTATTACTAAAAGCCTTATGTTGGTAAACCCATGCCTTATTGGCGTCGTTTCCATATATAGCCGGCATTTCTGTGTGGTACAAAGAGCCAGAACATTGGTCTGATAGTCTAAAATCTACACCTTGACCTTTTTATCTATTTCCCTGATCTATAACTTACCCACAGCGCAGTATCCAGCTATGATCATGCTTTCCTTTGAAAGATTTTTGCGAAATGTCGTGCACCACTTTTGAAGCTCTTTTTTCAACCACCGACCATTACAAAATGATTTCTGTGTGGTATAAAGAATCCAGAATATTGGTCTGATTGTAGAAAGTCTTCACTTTGAACTTTTTTATCCACTCCCCTGTTTGATAACCTGCCAATAGTGCAATGTCCAGCTATGATCATGATATCCTTTGAAAGTGTTTTGCGAAATGCCGTGTGCCACTTTTGAAGATCTTTTTTCAACCACCGACCATTACAAAATGTCACGAGACTTATTACAATTATCTAGGTACACATTCGCATCGTGGAATGTCACCACGTACTGCCCCTCTCACTCTTTCTGGCTGGTTATAGTGCCTACAGTTGTTTACAGTTGATCTTTTTAACTTGAGTATTTCGTGGAAGCAGCTTTTGTACACGTGACTTGTATCGCTTTTTAAGACTGAGATCCGTTTGAAATATTGCGGTGTATTGTTGTTTGGGCACGTGGGAAGTTTTTGCCACTGGTCTTTGAGGTTGTATACTCGTATCTGCTACAAAATGCTGCACTTTGCTTACTATGTTTGAGGTATGACTTATTGCAGGTCTCTTTCTGAATGGTCCTGGAAACCCAATTTAATACACATTCCTTTACTCTCCGATATCATTAAGTATAAGGGATATCCTCAATTTCAAAATTTTAAATTCCAGATCAGATCACATCCTTATCATCTGAGTATATTAATATTTTACGTCGGAAAGAGCTGTTATATACCCTTCTCAAAAGCGATGAATTTTCGATGGCATTACACTATCTACGAAACGCCAAACAATGTCAAAGTGTAGTTCTCTTACATTCCGTTTCACAGCAATTTTATATCGACTGTGGTTGTCACGTGATTTGCTGATTTCCATATTAAATATGGTTTTAATATAAGGTATTCAACTTTATTTCATACCTTAGTGTGAACTTTCACTTACAACAATCTAGGTTAGTTTATGTTTGGGCCAATCTTGAAATCGTAACAATTAAGTTGACGAGATAAACAATGTTATTTTTTTATTGAGATTAATAAGTACGTGAAATTTTGACTTCATACTTTTTTCTCCCTGCTAACTATTTTAGGCAAATTTCACTTTTTAAACTACAAAATCTTTATAAAGTTTACTTGAGTTTATTTAACCGTGATAGACTACAGGGAAGGTAGCTAGTTAACACCACCCACCGCCAATTCCTACGCTACTCTTTTAACAGCGAACAGTAAGATTGGCTGTCATTTTTCAACTCCCCCACCACAGGCCATACCAGGCCCTACTTGAACTTCATTTTCAAAGTACATTTAAACGGCGTAATCTACCTTGTTTCTTATGGACATCGTGGACTAGTGGGTTAACTTGTAGGGATAAGGATTAGAACCGATATGCTATTAAAGAAGCTCCACTCGATTCGTTGTAGGAGGCGTTATAACTGAAAGAGTTGATCCTGCCGTTTGCATAAGAGTAGTTTCATAGGCTAGGAGCGCTGCTGACTGGTTGCCCTCTCTTTAGTAAGCAGTATTACCAAAAGATATCTTCTCTAATGTAAGAAGAAAAAAAAAGGTAAAAAAGTACTTAAAAACATATGTTGGAGTCTTAGTTTAATAGTAGTGTATAAGAAAAACATGATCTTTAATTTTTTACATGACAATAGAAAGATGACATTTTACAATAATGAAATTTTACATAATTTTTCATAAACTGAAGCAAAATAGAAAAAAAAAACGATAATACATGAAAGTCCGCTTTATAGATAACCATAACATCACCTCCGGTTCCGAGGCCCCTGGAACTTGTTTATTTTTGAGTAGTTGTTACCGAGTGTTCATTACCTTTGGTATAAATGCCTAGTCCTCGTTATTGTTAACTTGTAATCCCTCTGTTATGCAATTTAACAATTATCCAGGAAAGAATCCTGTTTCATATTTTGAAAATAAAAGGGCAAAGTTGTTTGAATACCTAATTAAGTTTCCGTGTACAAAATTGGTATTTACTTTTTAATTTTGTATAATTTTTAATAAATTCAGACCATATATAATTAATGTATTTAAGTACATATATGAAAACGTAATAAATGCTGAAAAAAATACATCCAAATTCCTAATTGACAAAAACAACAACTAGTCTTAACTGTCATTTGGCAGTTCGATTTATGTATTTGTATTTCATTACTCCTGAACTTATACGGTAATATAGATATTCGAAACTCATCTGCTATCTTGTTATTGACCAGACGTTGATGTCTAGGGTATTTAGTAAAATCCATAGGTACTCTCTGTATGTGAATAATTTACTCAACCTGTTCTAACTGTATATAACGTAATGGTACCTCCAATGACTATGAGTTAATAAACTATTTATTTACAAAGTCGTTTTGGGGATTCTTAAAATGGTGGTTTTGTAGTGAAGTTGGACTTTCTGGACTCAGGCTTGTAAGACATCGGTATTACTGTTGTTTGATGGGAATGGTATGTTGTTGTTTTTTCTTTTTAAACGACTGACCTTTCCCCAAGTCACGTTTAGTGAACATAAACTTTTACAGTTACGGTTTTTATTTAACCACAAAATGAATTGAAGTTTGCACACCGTCATTCAGATGTAACTGTGCTACTAGTTCTGAAAACGGACAGAAAAACCTTGTATCTTGGTGTTCGTCAAGAGGAGAAACAGGTACAAGTCAAAAGTCATATTTCTGCAAGCCGTGTCTTACACATTAGTTACAGAAACACTTGATGATCGAACGTGTAATCGAGATGGTACATACTTTGTTGATTCCTGAATACCATTAATGCGCATTTGTAGCGCAACATTCGTACTTTCTTCTTCGTTAAAGTGCTCCATGATGTGACATTTGGAGAATATGCGCAGAAACATCGTTTTGAATTTTTGGCCGTATATGCAGTAGATAATGAAGTTGATAGAGGAGTTGACAGTTACTAACAAGTTTGAAACAGCAACCATTGAATTAATCACTTCACCGAAATATTCCATTATATTCACAATAAGTGCTAGAATGTTACAGACAAAGAATATGCCCACTATACAGAACAACATCATGGCTAAATTGATTTCATTTTCTTGCTGTCGTGTGAGACGTCGTCGATTCTTATTGGATCTTTGAACGGTTTGCCAGATGGTGCTATTTAACAACGCCAAGGTCAGAAAGGGAAGGAAGTACATAATGAACAGGTAGAACCAGACGTGATAAACTTCAAAGTAAAGTGCATTCTGGCGAAATTTGGAAGGAGCAACATTATATACTGTTGAATTTGTGACTGGATCAATGATACTGATACACTCAAGTTCGTAAAATCTGGGAATATTGTAACAAAAAGCAAAAATGGTGACACCTGTGATGTAGAGAAAAGCTCGCCGTTTAGTACAGAAGGCACGTGCTTTCAGTGGGTGACAAACAGCGATATAGCGCTCCACGGTCACGATTACCGTGACCCAAACTGACCCAGTCTGTGCCATGAGGCCTAAAGGGTAGACAACTGGAACAATGACAGGAAATATTATATTTGTGTAGCTGGACAACATAGAAACTTTAGAGCCAATTGTTGGCAAACATAACATCAACATAGCTGTTACTAAGACAGCCGTGTCGAAGGTTGCCAATCCCTGAAGACAACAATTAATCGACGTTCTCATTTGTTTGTGAGATAAGATAATCAATGAAATAACGTTTCCTACGATACCAAAGAGACTAACAGTTGTACTCAAAACACCGATCACTATAAAATGAAACAAGGATTCAAAACCAATTTCCTCAGTGTTAATGTCCTCATTTTCCACCCAGTTGCTTACATTAATCGTGAAGTTAAAGTTATCAAGCTTGACCATTGAGAACAAAATGAAATATCTGTCCTTTTTGAATAGATCTAATCACAGCTTTCTTCGCGAAGAAAAAACACCTTTTGTTGTAGTTATCTCGAAACTTTTCTCATCCTTGTTGATAGGAGTTGTCATTGATTTATCAGAAAACCTGGAAGAAAGGAAACAAATGACATATCAGTGAGGAAAAATAAATCTCTTTATACAAAATCCACTCGTAATTTTAAAAAAGTTCAACTATAACAGTTTAATTCATTTAAAACTTAAGATAAGAGCTTGGATAACCATTGGAACATGATACACCTACTGATACATAAGCGTTAATAGAGAAAAATTATCATCTGATAACTTTAAGTGATTTGATATATATATATATGAACATTCGACTATTTACCCCACCCCCCCTCCGGTAAGCTTTAAGGATTAAGAACGCTAAAATCGAAAGTTTATAAGTAAAAGAAAATAACTTTTTAGATTACTTCTCTACCCAAGGATTACACTCTAGCATCGAAATTCGTTTTGCTACAGGCAAGTAAAATTGATCAGAGGACCCGGTTAATGCACAAGTTGGACATTCTTATGTCTCTAACTTTATTGGAAGACTGGATTTTTTTAAATCGAAATATAAGCGACCGTACACAGTAGATTTAGTGATCAAGCAACTCTCTTATAACTCATAAAAACCAGAAGGACACGCATCTAAATTTCTCACAAAAAAAAGGTGTTCGTATTAAATCAATATTTGAATTGTCAGGTGGTTAGGGCGCTTGACTCGCAATCTGAGGGTCGCGGGTTCGGATCCTCGTTCCACCAAACATGCACGACCTTTCAGTTTTGGAGCATTATAATATGACGGTCAATCCCACTATTCGTTAGTAAAAGAGTAGCCCAAGAGTTGACGGTGGGTAGTGATAATTAGCTGCCTTCCTTCTAGTCTTTCACTGCTAATTTAGGGATGGCTAGGGCAGATAGCCCTCGGTAGCTTTGCGCGAAATTCATACCAAACAAGAACAGTAATCTCTTATAAACGTACTTAGTTTCGTGTTTCTTGATATATGTACGTATATATTATATACATATAGTTACAGGGTTATCCTCTCATTTTTGACCATGCAACAGGGTATCTTATTCATCCTTTGAACTTTTAAAATTGTTTAAGATTACATACCCTTTGGAAAATCGATTTCGTAAGTGTAACTATTCTTCAGCCTGGAAATATTAACATTTAAAAGTAGAATGAAGAACATGGAAAAAAATGATACAATGTAAATATATATAGAATCATAAAAATGTTAAAGTTGTTGTAATTTTAAACAATTTTGAAAGTTGAAACAAAGAATGAAAAATTATTACATAAGTAGACCTGAATTATAATACCTACAGAAAGTAAGATTTAATTTGTTAAATTAATATATGTATATATATATATTAATAGGCTAAAAAAGTCCTTTTTCACAAATGTCAATACATTTTTCCTTTCGGGCATTAATGTCTCGTCGAAAAGGTGTAAGATTTACATGACTTTATGACCAAACATTTTTCTATCATCCCTGCCCAATATACAGTGATAGTTGAAACATTAATTACTTACAAATTAAGAGTATTTCTTCTGAAGTAACAAGTGATATATATAACAAGCTCGAATTAAAGTTTAAAACAAAAGAAATGGGTCCATTACACGGCCACAGCCTGTACCTCTAAAACACGTTAACAGCTATCACGTGCCTAAATGAGCTAAATGTTCCATCTGGACTGTCATTAAAAAGTTCTTGACAGGTCCTTAAGACAAACATCTCTAATAATGTAACCTGTTTTGAAAAAAATACATGAAACAGTAATGATTGTTAAAAACATTGCTGTGATAGGATACGATTCTAAAGCGTTATTTTCGTAGCAATTTAAACATGGGAAAATGGAATTGGAAACACGAAAGAAGTATTGTGCAGCATTATCTTGTTAACTAAAAACTTTCAATATATACTCATTATGAAAAGCCTAAACATTATGAAAACGATAACATCTCGGTGTTTGGATTTAAGATAAAAGCCTTTCTGTCTGTTAATGAGACGTATATTTATTATCATTAGGAATTAGGGTGGCAGTAAGAAGTAAAAAGGAACAAATATACTTGTATCTTGTATTATCAGTGAATCTAGGATATCGTGTTCTTATAGCTGTACAAAAATAGTGTAATCCTTATCGTGGCGTAACAATAACCACTCATTCTTCGAAAACATAGATTGTGTCTAGAACATAGGATATGAGATATTTCTGTTAGGCTTTATTCATTTAGGTTGGAGATGCGTGGATCAGTTTGTTTTTGAATTTCGCGCAAAGTTACACGAGGGCTATCTGCGCTAGCTGTTCCTAATTTAGCAGTGAAAGACTAGAAAGAAGGCAGCTAGTCATCACCACCCACCGCCAACTTTTGGGCTACTATTTTACCAACAAATAGTGGGATTGACCGTCACATTATAACGCCCCCACGGCTGAAAGGGCGAGCATGTTTAGTGTGACGGGGATTCGATCCCGCGACCCTCAGATTGCGAGTCTAGCGCCCTAACCACCTGGCCATGTCGGGTCCCCGTGTATTTGAATATCAAAGAAATCGGAAAATAAAAAAAAACACCCTTAAATGCTTAACACAGTCGTAAAGAGAACTTACAAACAGTGTATATGTATTGATTCACGTGAACATGCTATTAATATCCTGTATGTTTCTCAACTTTTATTATTATTGTAATGGTTGGTGTTATTAAAAACAAAAACAAAAATAATGAGTCATTTACTCCCCATACATGTTGGCACCGAATTTCTTAACAATTCGCAAGAGTCAGCCGGAATGCGTGTGTTGTTTTCCATGATTACTTTCCTTTTTGTGCTGTTGTTTTTATTTCGCGCGAAGCTACTCGAGGATATCTGCGCTAACCGTTTTTAATTTTGAAGTGACAGTCTAGAGGAAAGTCAGCACCATCCACCTCTAACTCTTGAGCTAATCTTTTACCAACGCAAAGTGAGATTAACTGTCACATTATAATGACCCTCATGGCTGAAAAGACGTGCATGTTCGGTGATAAGATTAGAACTCGCGACCCGCAGACTGCGAATCGAGTGCCTATAACCACCAGGTTATGCCAGGCCGTTCCATAAATACAGGTAAATAAATACAGATAAAAAACGTTCGTTCTGAATAAACCAGGATTGTTTATTCGAAAATGTAAGCCAAACCACCAACCTGGATGGTGTTGTAATCTGGTTAGATTTTTAGCTTAAAACTTTAAATATAATATTTTGCGAGCATTCAGTCAGAAATGAAATCTAAAGTGGTAATTTCCGTTGCTACAAATCGTCTTGAAATGTCTTTAAAATATTTAAAGTTTATTTGTTTGTAATTAAGCATAAAGCTACACAATGGGCTATCTGTGCTCTAGCCACCACGGGTATCGAAACCTGATTTCTAGCGTTGTAAATCCGCAGACATACCGCTCTGCCACTGGAGGGTGAGAGTATTTCGATATCCGTATATATATATATGGAAATACGTAACTTGAAATACCTGAAAATAATGACTATTTATTTAGTTACCAGCACTTTATTGGAATGTTTTGCACTAACTTTGTGATGATATAAGGTATGTATGATCTATAATCTGCAGGACAGTATGGAGTTAACTGTATGTTGCTTCAACTTAAGACATGAGGCATCAAACGAATCTTTCAACCAAAACATTCATTTTTATCATACCGAGATGTTCATAATATAATTTATTATGTATTTATTGATGGTTGACACTCACAATGATAGATATTTTTCTCATTTAACATTTGAAAAGCTTTTCAATAGGTCGTTGGTAAGTTTATGGACTTACAAAATTCGGGGTTGGATTCCTAGAGGTGAACAGAGCGCATGAAAATTATTTTCTTCTACATTTCGATAAAAACTAGAAGACGGATAATATGAAATACGTTGAAATCTACGGAGACTAAATCTAAAAATCGTCATACATTTTTCAAGTCAATGTGAGTGAATGATTTATTTTCCTGTTCCTGTATGACAGCAACGTACAAAATCAAATAAAATGCATCTCATGTGTTGAAAATGAAACAGAAGCGATGTTCTGTCACTGTATGGAACATAAGAGTAAATGGGTTTTAATCCTTATTCTACACGTATCTTGGTGCCAAAGACATAATCTTTTACTATGACATACAGTTAAGCCATCCTAGTGGTTACTATGACATATAATGAAGCCTTTCTTGTGGATACTATGACATACAGTAAAGCATTTCTGGTGGTTACTATGACATACAGTGAAATATTCATAGTGGTTACTATGACATATAGTGTAGCCTTCATAGTGGTAACTATGCTATAGAGCAGCGGTTCCCAACCTTTTCACCACCAAGGACCCACACGGACCTCATGTTTTTTGAAAGATTCCATCTACCCAACAAACTGTTTTTTTCCTAATAATTAACTTGTTTTTTCCATTTTTTACTCTCAAATAAAAGACACATATAACTGAGTGTGCAATTAAAAGAACAGCAGAATTAAAAAAAAAACGTACTTGTTTAATGAGATGGTATTATCTTCGCGGACCCTCAGAGTCTGGGGACCACAGGTTGGGAATCACTGCTATAGAGTAAAGCCGTCCAGGTGGTTATTAAACCATAAAGTAAAACATGACAAACTAACCTTGCTGTGTCATATAATAAAGTGTTCCTAGTAGTTACTATGCTATACAGTGAATCATTCTTTATGGCTACCATTCCATACAATAAAGTATTCCTGATAATTATTATGCCATACAGTAAAGATTTTTTGGTGGTCACTATGCCATGCAGTAAAACATTCCTTTGTGGACACTATACTATACAGTAAAACATTCCTTATGGTTACTATGCCATACAGTAAAGTATTCCTTATAGCTACTGTGCCAAACAGTGAAGCATTTCTCATAATCATTATACCATATAGTAAGGTATTTCTGATGGTTATTATGCGCTTAGACATCTGCTGTGTCTGTCGTAACCCAGCCGCCCTGTTGACCTAAGGTATCAGGCGAAAGGCCTCTTCGGCAATGTATATGCCATATGTAGTGAGGTTGCCATATCAATAATATATTCTTCTGTATTTTCACTAATAATGTTT